ATTCTGTTCAATTCATTAGCATCTGTCTCCAAAGCAAATAGTTCCAGGAATTGTACTATAGCAGACCTTTAGGCTCTGAGGGTGGCATTCAAGTATGGTTTAAGAAAAAGACCCTCCAAAATTGAGTGCATCCTAGGAATGTTTTTTAGAATTCAATTTTTAGTAGAGTAGAAGCAAGGTTTTCCATATGGAAGCCAGCCTGACTCATGATGATGAAAGCCTCAAGAGTCCTAAGTTTGTTCGGAAACCAGGACTGGTAGACATTAACAGATAGACATTGATATGGGTAGAGATTATATGCAATCATTGTTAATACCATGTCTGTTGAAGATGATACTGAGACATAAAATGCCACCAAAAAATGAAGAGTTAATATTATTTACCTCACAGACAACTTCTTTAATAAAAGTTACACGTTATTCCAGATCATATGCACAAAAAAGTATTCTTACGGAATAAAGGCCAGGTCTAGCCTCACTTCGGTAGTACAGAAGGTATAAAATTCACAGATTAATAGGTTTACATGCTGTTGTTTGCCAGAAAAATACAATGTAATAAACACTAGCATAAACTGAGGAATTTATAAACTAATTGCATATTATTAATAAAACCCCAAAATATCAGAGAAACACTTGTCTCTGGTTTGGTTATTCTCTAGTAAATAATCAAAAGACAACAAAGAAATCATCATGTTGCATGATATACAGTATGAATTTTCCATCAAGGGTTGTATCTACGTATGTTCACTGTAGGTGTTCCTGCCCACAATTACTTGGGGCAAATACATTTTCCTTCGTACCAGGGAGGCTGCACTCTTGCTCCTTTCTCCCCTTCTCTGCTGAACTAATGGTGGAGCATGATCCACAGCACTTCCTCTGCGCAGGTGAGTCAGAATTTCTGTGTAGTTCAACATGCTCTGGAATTGTCTTTGCGGTTTTACAATTGTAGTTGTTTTGGAATAATCTGTTTACCCCTTTGGCCTCTTTTGGCATGCCCTGTTAAGCCTGGATAGATGGATGAAGATGTGCTAAACTGTTTTAACAAATAATATTTTGGTGCTGCTTGGAAATGCAGAGAAAACATGATACTTTCAGACAGCAGCAGGGAACTACACTAGACTCATTAGCAACAATACTGGGAGTGGTGAAAAGGTATGAAATACTATTTGTTTTTTCCAGTGTATTGTTTGGAGGGATAATACAGCAGTTGTGCTGGTTAGTGGATCCAAACGTAACAAAACAATTTCTAGTCAAAGTATTCATCTGTGTACATTCAAAGGCACAGCTGTATGTCTGCATACAGGCTCAGCTGTATGGCTGTATCTAATTAAAATATACATTTGATCTGTACATATAACAGTTTAATCTTTAATTTTGTAAACTCTGATACCATGCTTTGATTTTCTTTGTATGTTCCGTAAGATAGAAACAGCATAAGAGAAAATCTTTGGCTTCTGCCCTAATGCACTTACTGCTATGATGAAGGTATGTTACTGATACTTACACATACACATGTACTTCTATACAGCTCTTCTAGCCCTATTGTTGGAAAATTTTACCATGAGAACTGTTGAAGTAATAATATTCAACCTTTAGATTTCATGCTGAGTTCAACTGTGTAGAGATGTTAGTCGGAAATTAACTTTGTAGGTAAGGGAAGTGAAGCACACATGATGATAGGGTGAGCACCACTTGGGTATACCGGTGTGGAGCATTCTCTTCTGTTTGCTCTTCGGTGGTATGTTTCTAAACATCCTATTACAATACCAGTGGTCTGAAAAGTCAGCAGTAAAATGAGTTGATTTGAATGGGAGAACACCACCAGTAGTGCTAAAGTTATACAAAAATTCCCTTTTCCAGTGAAGTGAAAATACAAAGTCTGTTTTGTGTTAGAGAAGTAGTTCCCACTTCTTGCTATGGGACTCATGAAATACTTGTATTTTTTTTTCTGACAGGTACTGGTGAAGAAACCACACCATAATTTTAAAGTTTAATGTGATACATTACTTTTAAAATTCTACAGCGTCTGACTTCTCTTCAGAATCCATAAAATGGCAGCAATATCTTAACTTTCTCAACAGGCGTACAGGAAGAATGTAGTAAATTTTTCATATGAATGCTTACTTTGAATGGTGGCATTACTAAGTGTCACCAGTCAAAATCAACGTTCTAACTTACAACAGCATTGGAATTTTACTCAAATAATGTGTCTCAAGACAAGGGATAACAGTTCAGGAACTATGGTGAATTGTTCAGTACATTGATGGGTGATCTCATAATCTGGTATCAATAGATCAGTAATTTACTGCCACATGATCTCTTCATCTTAGTGGGAAAGCTTTCCTGTTTTAACATTGCTGCAGTCACCATTAAGTTTTGTGTCACAAACCAAGTTTGAATTCAGCTGATGCTCAGCATTTTGGAATTCTTTGAGACAAGTTAATGGTGTGTATTAATGGCATTATAGTAAATGATAGGAAAGTAGTAGGAAGTTTTTCACACACACATGCCTCCCCTTATTTTGGTATTTTCAAAGACATGTATAGGTGGAATAGATTTTTGCATCCTTTTCTGTAAGTATGCTACGACTTAGTTTATGAATATAGACTGATTTTTAAAGCATTCTGGCAAAATACTGAAAGTCAGTGAGACAAGAACAGATTGCTGCGTTAATTCTACAGTTGGGCCTGGAGGAGCCTCTGTGGAAAACCAGTTGGACTCAAACTATTAAAAATAAATAAAAAAGGCAAGGAGAAGTAGTAAAGGATTTGAATCAGGTGCGATTACAAGTGCTTTGGAAGCTGCTTCTGTAGATTCCAAGTTGCCATCTCTTTTCAGTCTCAGTATATCTTTACCCCACCCATGCACTGATATGATCCTCTATTCAACCTAGGCTTGGAACATTTGTGCTACCTTCCAGGAAGAGAATTGTTTTTTGCAGCTCCCTCTTACTCCTTTTGAGAAAAGGATTAAATAGTGCCTCTGACCAAACATACAGGCATGCTGAAGTGAAGCCACTTCATGCTCCTGGCCAAACAAAGAACAAAAATACCCACAATAAGCAAAAGCAGATGGCTTCAGTGGCAGGAAATGAATGAGCCAGACTGCAGGTAAAATAGTTCTCTGAGCACACTGCGGAGCTTTGTAATGACAGGTTCTTTGTTATCTGGGGCCTCCCCACAGGAGGCCAGATGTCTTCTGTTGTGAAAGGAGATAGATAGAGATGCTCTTCCTTTTCCTCCCCCTTTAACTTATGGCTGTTTAAGTTACTGCTAATGGAAGTAGAAGCCTGTTTACCTCCTTGCTCTCTGATGTTTTTGGAAACAGAAGAGATAGTTAGTGCAGGGGTATTCTGATATAAAAGAGAAGGCCCAGAACTGGCCTTTACCTCCCCATGACCTTCATTTTAAAGAACAGTGAGGTCAGTGCTGCTAATTGCACTTGAAAGGATTAACCACTTGATCGCTTTCATTTGGTGGAACAAAATTATTCTTCAATCTCAAAGCTGGAAAAATGTATCAACAGTTTTGAGACATTTTCAGTGTGAGGTGGAGGACTTGGCTAGTTTGGCTGCTTATACCAATACTGAAATTAAATAGAGGGTTTAAACATTTTTACATATGGGAGAGGAGGGAGAGCTACATCTGCTCAGAGCAGATCTGCAGCAAAAGTGACAATAACCTCCTTCCCGCCCTCACAAAAGGTTATCAGAGGAATATCAACAGACAATAATTAATGACAGATATTAGATGTGCCTCTGTCACTTGTGTAAGAATGACTCTTGCATTACACCGCAGTTGCACTGGAAGAAGAAGAATCTGAACCCAATTCTGGGACACAGTGTTCCAGATTTACAATCTTTTCTGTACGTTGATTTCACCTGAGAATTAAGACTAATTTACTTTTGGGATAGATTCTTAATTCCCATTGTTCAAATAAAGTGAGAGACGCAAAACTTAAATTTGGAAACCATTCTTAACCTTGTGAAACTATTTTCCAAAAGTAACAAAGAACAGCTTATATAAGCTTTTATCTGACCTCTGCCTCTTAAATAAAAAAACATGTTTTCAGGGAAATGTGTCTTGGAAGTAACTCCCCCTCCTCCCCAGATTTTTCTCTCTGGTTCTTGTAAAACGTTAGGTCAGTGGGTTCATTTTATTTTTGTTTGTTTAAAGTGGGTGAAAGTTTCCTTCTCAAGCTATTGTACTTGTATGACTTAAAAAAAAAAATACAACAATCTTTGTTTAAGAAATACAAGAACAGATGGAAATGTCAAAAGACTATCAAAATTCATACCAAAGGAAATAGCATTAATCATTGTAGAAAGCTAAAATAGCCTCTCAATAGCAATAAGAACCAAATGAATAAGAAATGTGTTGCTTCAATAATACTGAGACAGGACTGATGATTTTTCTCATTGCCTGGCACATGAACTCAATATGTATGTATATTTTAAAATGATGTTTCTCATTCTGACTTCAAGCCTGTGTTTCTCATGATGCTGTTACAGTTTCCACACATTTCACACACGTATGTGTAACTTAACTAGCGTTTCTTTTTGTAAATGGAACTGTGTTTTGGTTGTCCACTGAAATGCATTTTTATATGCATTCGTGAAGATAGGTATGACTTGCAGAGAGTGTATTTGTATGTTCTGTTTTAAACAATTAAAGAATCCTAGAATAGCATGGGTTGGAAGGGACATTATTCAAAGGTCATCTAGTTCAACCCCCCTGCAATAAGCATGGACATCTTCAACTAGACTAAGCTGCCCAACTGTTAATACTGCAGTATTAACTTTGATTTCAGTATCTTGAAGCATTAAAAAATCTCCTACAAATCTTTTGTTTGAGCCTGTATATAGCTGTGTCAGCATAAGATTTTCTGGTGCTATTTTTCAAGGCATTGTTTCTATAATCACAAGGGTGTGACAGGGCCCTCTTGGGGTACAGCTGATAAGTTAGGGCAATTTTTTGAGGAAAATATGCAACAAACTTCAAATTTCTTGTTTAAGGCATTATCTATTATCATTTTTCTGTGTCACTTTGACAAGATTTAGTGTTTTCTTAAGGAACGTGCTTCTGAGAATATTCATAAATATTTATCCATCTTACATTGTACCTCTAATGAAACATTCTTTTTTTGTCTTAAGACTGTGATTTTTACCAACTTGATTTTTTCTGGCAGAACATCCTAGCGTGATACAAATATATTCGTATAACTGCTTGTAAAGATACAGCTTAGGACTATTACCTCTGCCAGCATCAGCTGCATGGTATAGCTTGGCAAAGTCACCCTTCTATAATTACATTCACATGTGATGACTCTGCCAGCAGTGCTACATATACCATCAAAACTTCCATCAGCATCAGACAATGTCTTATTTAGCTGTTCAAATTTGCACTATTACTGCAAAAGAAAAACACAGCAGATGGATAGTCTGCCTAAATTAAGGACGTCTTGTCGGAATTGTTGTAGGCAGAACAAGTATCTTCCCTATATTTTGTCTCTGCAAATTAATTTGTCTTGAGTCCTGCAAAAATATCTGTTTCCAGACAAAAGTATGTGGCATCTATAAAATTTTACTGTTCATGATATGCCACTGTGACATTTAAGTTAATGTTGCACAAAATGATAGTAACGAAAAAATTATCCAGAAAGTATGTGAATGGTACTACAGAAATCATACACTATATAATGTTTAAAGAGAGCATTCTTTTCTATTACTAGGACAATTTTCCAGAGTTAGTCTCGAAAATACATAATTTATATTCTAGTCACTTAATGTGGTTTTTCATTTTGTATTGGCACACCCCCAGTTAAATACTATCCTAACAATTTCACTCAGCTTTTCATGTCATGAAAGTGAAATCAGTTTTACTGCATAAAACACAATGAAAATACCGGAAATAAAGTATTAATAACAATAAAAAGCTACCATGCTAATTGCTTTTCACAGTTAAGAGACATGACTCCTTATGGCAAGAGGGGCCAAGTCCTCCTATCCCCACCTCAGGAAATAATCTCACTGTGATGACACAACACTTAGCAAAGCCTGACTGGTTTCAAAGGAGTAATTCTTATCAGACTGCTCATCAGAGTAGTTCTACAATCTCAAGTGTAAAGGACATAAAATCTGTAGCTTACTTTCGGACAAACGCTTAACCATTATTAAGAGTACAGTCTATTTCCAGATTACGTTTGTGCAGTTTATAATCATAAAAGAAATCAAATATAATGTAACTTACCTATAGATAAGACATCTTACTCTTTTCCTGCACAACACTTGGCATTTTTAATCAATGTGTACATAAATGAAAAGAAAAAAAGCAGATTATCATATTGTCCTTTGTAGTTCTCTTTCAAAATCTCCTGATGATAGTCTACAAGGAAATAATAAATTGCTTCTATTGTGGAAAGGTATGTATCTGGCTTCCCCTTCTGATGACGCCAAAAGCAAGTTTTCCTTGTCTTCAACTCAATTTGCAGCAACCCTGTCAAGAAAAAAAGATGACATAGATTAGACAATGTGGATTGGTGGATGGGATGCCAAACAAGTTTTAAGTTTTGTTTTCTGACTTTGCTGTGAGCCTGCTCGATGCCTGCATGCATATAACTTCTCTTCCAGTACCTCAATTTCTTTTCTGTGAAATGGAGGCAGTAATTTTATTTTCCTTTGTGTACCACTTCGAAATTTGATGCGAAGGTGCTGTAAAGGCTAGTTTACAGTCCTCATCTCCAATTAAATTTGTAGGTTAATCCTCTCATTCATACAGGTTCATAGCCTTCAGCAAACTGCGTGGTCTGTTCAGATGGGAAGAGTGAAAACCACATATACAAAGTCTCATCAGTGTTCATAAAATTAATAAACTTTACTGTTTGCAAAGCTAATAGCTTTCAGTGGAAAACAGAATGCCTCAGTTTTGCTGAACTGAGGAATATTTTGTAAGAACTAGACACTTTTCATTTGTTTAAGTGACTGAAATCTCACAGGGATTACTCGGGAGTAAGTATAAGAGAATCTGGTCATTAATTTTATTAGAAACTAAAAGCATTCCCACTTGAGATGAAAGAACGAAATTTGGTCTCTGTATGGCACATGGAAATCTTTTATCTACTATAGTCTCTTAACTGTTTTATTATTCCGATGGATTTTAAATGTCTATCTTGTTTTTTATGTTCCTTAAGAAGCACACATTTAAATTCACCTTAATGTGTAATCACTTTGTAAACAGGATGGACAGCTGCATTATAAGAAACAGTTTATACACCCATCAAGGTGTATACCAGCATCAGCTTGTAAAATTATTTCTTTCTGAACTGTTAAAATCAGATACTAAGTGTGCGTCATGGGATGGTTTAGTAAAAGTAAAAGTAACTATGGTTTTAGGATTGCTTGGAAGTTACAAAGAAGTTTCAGTAAGATCCAAATTCAGGAGTGCAAACTGGCCTATAGCCCAGCACTTGTAATTCTGTACTTTTTACCTTCAAACTACATTTAATTCTTTCTAGTGTAATTGCAAGATGGATTTAGTTGTTTCCTTTGCAGTTAGGAATGTATGATATCTTGCATAGTAAAAGAAATTTCTCCAACAGCATTTAGGAAAAAAAAGAACAACCTAAACAGGAGATTCCATCATTGAATTTAAATGTTATTGTTGTCATTTTGGAACTAAAAATTCAAAGTAACAAAGGCTAATTATTACCTCTGATAATGCTTACATAAGTATCCTAAATAGTAACAGGAAACTTCATGTTTTCCTGAAGAGGTTTCAATACTTGAATTCTCAGAACTAACACCAAAGTGAAATCTTCATCAAATTCAGCAATGTTCCCACCTTAACAGCAGTGAACTGAATTTAGGGGATAATTCCTCCAATGTAAACTCCCACCTACGTGTGGTTTGAATACAAACAACAGTCCACTGAAGGCAAGACTGCTGACACTGCTGAGCTTACTGCAAATGCAGGATCAGTTCATTTCAAACACAGAATTTTAGGATTCTTTTTTTTAACAACAAAAAAAAAAAAATCAAAGGGGCTTAAGGGTTACAGTTTTACTGAGCATGTTTCCATCATCTGTACTGTATCTATATAGCCAAAGGCAATGCTTTATTACAAATACTGATCATTCATATCAAAGCTTATTAGGGAGATATTTGGTAACAGGATTTTAATTAGCCAATACATTATACTAACATGTGGGGTTCTTTAATAAGCTGACTAGACAGCAAAGCAACATTCATCCTGCATCTAAGCCTGTCAAGCAGGGTTTATGTATTACATATAAACTTGATAGCCTGCCTCCCAGCTAAGTGCACCTTTTTCACTAATGAAAGTAATTTCAAACTCCTACATACTTTAAACTCCTGGCTCTTGCTAAATTGTTTTATCTTTTGTGGTTTTATTTAGAATACTTAAATGTAAACTTCTTGTAATGAACCTAAGACGAAAATCCTTTGCAGAATTACAAGTTTAGCTTTCAGCGATGGGAGGGTGTGGAGGGCAAGCAGGCATTCCCTTTTTGTCTGGAAAGTGATGAGGTCTTTGAAATTACCATGGGACAAAGAACTCTACTAGAAAAAGTAACCAAGCCATGCATAACAGGGCTTTCAGCAACCTGGTCCAGTGGAAGGTGTCCCTGCCCATGGCAGGGGGGTTGGAACAAGTGTTCTTTAAGGTTCCTTTCAACCCAAACCATTCTACAACATACTTGCACCCTAGATCCCTCATTCACCTTCTAGTGGCCTGCCTGCCCCTAATGTGTATAGAAATGTTTCCTGGGTCTCCTGAGAAAGCAGATAGCCATCTGCAAAGGAAATCTTTCTGGCTTCCTTCAGAGGCCATTCAAACTACTGTTCTGTTGTCTAAGATGACACCTTCCATTCTGTCAGACTGAGGAAACTTGTTTCAATGGAGAAGTGAGAAAATCAGTGTAAATGCTCTCTTAATACTAGTCTTACCATTGTGTGAAACAAATTATAGGACACCAAAAATAACTGAATCTTTGGCTACAGCACTGAAATAGGCTGTTGAAGCTCTCACATATATTCAGATACAAGGTTAGGCATATGCTTATCATATTCAGGTCTGTTAGAGATGTGTATTTCCCTTAATTGTTTCTGTAGCAAAAACATCTCAATATCAACTTTTTTTTTTTTTTTTACCTTGAAGTCGTTCATCAGTTATTATTTTGTTAGTTTGATTCCAGGTACTGTCGATAAATATTATTTTCTTCAGTCTAGTGCCTTCATTCCCATTGGTTGAGATGCATTCATTTAGATTTTTTCCTTCTTCTTTAGGTTCTAGTTTTGCTTGCTTAAGAAATGGTTCTCTGGAACAGTCATTATCATTAGCACAAGTGCCTTTCTTAACATACTTTTGGAGATGGAAAGCAATATCTTTTACTGAAATTGAATTGGGACCAGGAAATATAAGTGCTATCTAAACAAAGAAAAAGAAATGTGAATGTTAGCAAGATCTAATGAAACACCAGGAATTGTTTCATTAAAGAACAGAGATTTTCTACCCTCATCCACGAACATTTAAGTCAGGACAAGATGAAAAAGTATCTCATAAAAAATATTCTATTGTCTAAAAGGATAAAAGACTATGTTAAAACAATGAATACTTGTTAGAGATCTTTGGATATCACCTCCATGCTTCTACTACCAATTCTAATACTTTGTAAATAACAGCTTTTTCATCCTAGATAATGGTGTCAGCCCTGAGAAAATTCAGATTTCACCTGTCATTGCCATGTGTGGGGCAGGAAGGCCATAAAAAATAGTTTCACATTTTATTCATGAGTCTTGGTTAAGAAGAAAAAAATCTCTTCTGCCCTTGTGTCTATTGCAGGTCCCACAAGTATCTTGTATGAAAAAGACCAGTGATGGCCTTAGTGTTTTTTTCAGTTGCTTACTGCAGCGTTCAGAATCTGTGACTTGGAAAGGCTGGACAATACAAAGTTACTGCAGTATCTTCCCTGTTCCTTATTCTGCCTTTTTAGCTTCCTACCTCTTTGCCACCTCTGCTTTCCTTGAAGAAAATAATGTGTATATGAGATACATATCTTTTCTTCTTCATGTAGTCAAACATTATAATTACATCAAATGTGTAAATTTCAGATTAATCACACTATTTAAATGAGCATAGCTCAAATTTTCAGGCTCTGTCCTGACTGAAGTAGGCATTTTAGGTTTTCTCTGAAATAGGGAATGTTAAAAATTTAAAAGAAATTTAAATACTGCAGCTGCTGAATAGGGTGAGCACAACAAGTAACTGCTATTCAACTGGCTCTAAGTTGAATACTTTCATGTGTTTGTGAAAATATGTTTGGGCAAAGTATTTCTTATGGTACACAGTGAATCAAACTATATGTTATCTAAGGTGGCAAATACAGGACATTCAAGGTGGTTAAGTAGTACTACGGTTTTTATAAGCTTTGTAAGACACTCCATAACCACTGTATATTTTGAGAGAGTGCAAGATAAGAGTGGACTGGATTAACAGAACAGTGCTTCCCTCCCACTTCTATCCAGCACAGTCCAGTACCACTACAGGAGGAAGTTCAGAAGATTCCTCTGCATCTCCCCAGCACAAAGCCCAGATATCTATATGGAATTTCTTACTTCATGTCTTTTTTCTTCGTATTCTGGAATGCAGGGGTATTTATATATTGTAACATCATCAGGTGCCAGGAGCTTAGCATGCACAGCAGTGCTTTTGCCATCTGTTTCATTTGGGTGTTTAATGATGTCAATCTTCAAAGGTAACTACAGTAAAAAGAAAATAAATAAGCAATTATTTATGACCATATATGCAGGTACAAACTTTTATGCAAGATCCAGCAGAAATCCCTATGGACATGTAATTAAGAAATATTTGACAATTTCTGACAATGTTTTTAACAGGTTTAGAACTAAACCAGAGACAAGTGACATGAAGCACCTGTTACATTCAGTTCATCTAGATACTTGAGCAAGCAATTAATGCAATTTGGAATGCTGCAGCACTAGTGTGATAAAACATTTAGGAATAGTATCTCTAAGGTAAATAATATGTGGTCTTGATTTGATCAATATAATGGTTGTAAATACGAATGCTTATCTGTGTTAGATATTCACCTCATTGCAAAAATGGCAGTTTCAATGAAAATGCACTTACTTAAATACACTAGGTCAAATTTCCAAAGTGCTCCTAAAATATGTATTTTCATGATGCATTCAAACTACAGAGTGTCTTCAAAATGCATTTTAGTTCCTAGGTGATTCTGCAAAATATCAGTCCTCTGATGATTTATCCAAGTACTTTAGCTGAAAGGCATTAGGCTTTTTAGTCTTTATTTGTGTTATCTGAATTATACAACCATGACATTTAGGAATGCCTTTTAGCTCACATTTCCATTTTATGTAAAATTTCTATGGACAGAAATTATGGACAAATCATTTTTTGTTCCCAATGTGCTCTGTTCTGGCCAGAGTTCTTAGACACTGAAGAATGAAGGTAAGAGCACTGTACAGAAACTTTTAAGAACTAAGTGAAAACAACCATTTGCACAAGAAGCTGAGTGATTCAGCATACCTTCCCATCCAGCAGATATGTAAATGAGGATTGGAACACTGTCAGTGTTTGTACACATAATTCCTCACATAAGAAGAATTTTACCTAACTGTATCTTATAGCTGTACTTAATAGCTGTGTTCAGGATGGACATCCTTACTGAATTAATCAGAAATGAAACATCCACAGACAGACTGTTCTCCATTCCTAGTAACTAAAAGGCACAAGAACATTATAAAAAATCTGTATGAAATATTAACCTTCACAGTTGGAATTTCTTTGGTAGGGACAGTTTCAACAGGAACAAAGCATGTATAACAATAAAACATCCTTGAGCTACTGCATCGAGGACATTTTGATCTCCCACTCTTCTTTGCCTTTTCAAGTACTTCCTGCGATGCAAGCTGTAGCTGTTGAAGTGGGTTATCTTGAAACGATGATGGAGCCTGCGGTTCTACACTTTTCAAACATTCAGAATTTCTTCTTGGTTCTTGAGAGTTTTCTTCATTTACCAGTGTAGGTGAATTTAAAGACATGGTTAGCTGAAACAGACAGTATGCTGCTGCTGTTAAATAAAATCTGTGAACTAATTTATTAGAAATGATTCTGTATGATCCAATTTAGCAAAAAATACTCATCAAAGAAGGTATTTCCTGTTAACAGAAAGAAACACAAAATCATCTGATTCAGCTGTTATAGCACAAGAACTCCAAACAGATTTCAGGAGAGTATGAGATAAATGGCTAGAAGGAACTCGAGATCTGTATTCTTAATGCACATATGTGCACATTCATCATTTCACTGAGGCAAATTCTCCCACTCAACCTGTGCAGAACTACTTTTTTCCTTTAGTAGGATCACTGTCTAAAAGCTTGTGAAAACACTGGTAGACACCATTTACCTGGATGAATAGTCCCATTAGTCTTCAGCATGACTACTGACAATGAATTAAATGTCTACAGGATAGAAATTTGTAAGAGATAATTGCACAAAATCAGATTTCTGTCCTGAATTTTAGTGTGTGTGGGCAAATCAAACTACCTGAATGAAATCCCTGATGACAGAACTTTGTGAGATAAAAGAAATCTTCCAGGAGCAAGGCTTGAGGCTGAAAAATTAAGTCTTAAGAGCTAAAACACTGCTTTGGTGCTCCATATACCAGAAAGTAAGTGCTGACCCAGTCTAGGCTCATTCTGCAACTTCGTATTTATTGAGTAACGTTTTTTATTTCAGGCTTTCTGCAGGACAGATGTTGTCTCATCCTTTGTAGCTGGCATAAAATTTTCACTGTGTACTCTCAGTAATGTTTTGGAAACCTGACTGTATGCCCATACCCGATCCAGCCAGAATTAGCACTGCTGTGTGCAGAAGCTCACAGGCATAGTTTTAGCAGAACCCTTCTGACTAGATCACTCTCTGGTCTTAAAAGCAGTTCCCAGGCAGGAGCCTGCACAGCCTGCAGTAGTTATAAACTGCCTTTTGCACTCTGTGCTGCATCACTTGAAATGAAAGAAGTCATTCTCAGTATTTACTTTCAGCTAATTTAGGTTTACTTTTTCATGTCAGGGATCACACTTGTGAAATGATGTAACAAACCAGTCATGTTTTACAAAAACAAACAAACAATAATTTCTGAGATGTGATCCAAAATTAAGTGTTTAAATAAAACCAAGTGTAATTTAATTGAGAAATAACAAAACCAAAACACACTAACTTTCCAATAAAAATTTAAAATTAATCCCAGAAATATTAAGTTGTTTTTTTCTTGTAAAATTAAATACTCATGCATGCTATGATACCTTCCTCTCCTCTGCTGCCAACTCTAACTTTTGAAAGGTCAGGGGTGTCCGTTCAAATTAGCATAAAATCTAATATGCATACAACTTTTATAGTGCAACTTGCTCTCACATATCTCTTAGATAAAGCAAATATACCCAACATCTCATGGTTCCACACAGAGCAAAGACAGTGAGAGGCCCTGTAATTTGGCATGCATTCCCAGCCTGCTTCTTTTCTGTATAATGTCTTAAGGCACTGTGTTCAACTATGACACCCCAAAGCACTTTATTGATACTGAGGAGGTATGCTGCACTAACGGCACAAGAAAACTTTTATAGTCTCAAAAGAGCAGCTGTTCACAGTTACAGCAGCGTATGTTCAGTTTACTTTTCAAAAGAAGACAACAATGGAGTTTACAATTTTAAGACTGTAAATAACATCTACACCTGATCTCCGAAACCCCAACACATCACTGCCGCTGCACAGGGCCCTCTGCATTCCAACTGCAATCCTAAAACAACTTAAAAATCTCAGCCGGGACAAAGTGATTTTGTGTCAAGCTCATGAAGTGCCAGAAAACGCTCATCCCGGTTACTGCCGGGTGCTCACGCACCTCTGCTCGCTCCTGTCTGCTGAGCACTGCGGAAGCAGCACGGTTAGGTCCGGCTGTGGGTAGACAGCTTCTGGGGCACACCGCCCATGCCCTCAACACTGACCCAGGGGTTCCGACAACATACAGGACTGGGGCTTTCTGCAGCAAGGAAGCGGCGGAGCTGCATAAAACAGGCAGTAGGAAATGCACCGGTACTCTGAAGAGCGCAGCCCTCCGCTGCTGGGATTTCTCCCGGAAACAACAAAGCACTTCTGCCCCGGCACGCCTGCATGGCCCTGTCCCTGTCTCCCAGAGGCACCAAGGCCTTTGTGGGCCCAGTGGAGGCCACAGTGGCAGTGTGGGGCCGCTTCACCCCGCGCAGAGAGCGGCCAGGCCGCCTCGGGGCCCCGCCCGCCAAAGCGGCGGTGCCTCCGCGATGCGCTCCCTCGGCTCTCCTCCCCGCCGTGGCCTCGCCGCCCTCGCGGTGGGGCGGGAGAGCTCCGCACCCGCTCAGGCTCCGCTCCTCACCCGCTCCCTCTGGTCCGGCCCCTCCGCGGGCCGGCGCTCGCCGCAGAGGACTGCCCAGCTCTTCCGCGGCCCTCGCAGCCCCCGGAACGAAAGTGTTGGGCTCGGCCAGCGCGGGAAGGAGGGGACCGGAAGAGCGGGCGCGGAGGAGCGCTGTTCGGCGGGAACAGTTGCTAGGGGCCCTTAGTGACAGCGCGTGCGGCGCGGGAGGCAGCGCGTGCCGGCTGCGGCCGCTGAGGAGGCGCGTGGCGTGCCCACGCGACAGGCAGGCAGGCGTTCACTGACTGACACTGACTGACATTGACTGACATTGACTGACACTGACTGACACTGACTGACATTGACTGACACTGACTGACACTGACTGACACTGACTGACATTGACTCACTGACTGACACTGACACTGACTGACATTGACTCACTGACTGACACTGACTGACACTGACATTGACTCACTGACTGACACTGACACTGACTGACATTGACTGACTGACTGGCACTGACTGACTGACATTGACTGACTGACATTGACTGACTGACATTGACACTGACTGACACTGACTGACATTGACTGACCGACATTGACACTGACTGGCACTGACTGACACTGACTGACACTGACTGACATTGACTGACCGACATTGACACTGACTGACTGACTGGCACTGACTGACATTGACTGACTGGCTGACACTGACTGACTGACTGACTGACATTGACTGACATTGACTGACTGACACTGACTGACTGACACTGACTGACTGACATTGACTGACATTGACATTGACTGGCACTGACACTGACTGACATTGACTGACACTGACATTGACTGACACTGACCCTGACAGACTGACACTGACTGACATTGACATTGACTGACACTGACTGACACAGACTGACTGACATTGACACTGACAGACTGACACTGACACTGACAGACTGACTGGCATTGACTGACACTGACAGACTGACACTGACTGGCACTGACTGACACTGACAGACTGACTGACACTGAATGACTGACACTGACAGACTGACACTGACAGACACTGACAGACTGACACTGACTGACACTGACTGACTGACCCTGACTGACACTGACAGACTGACTGACACTGACTGACTGACAGACACTGACAGACTGACACTGACACTGACAGACTGACATTGACTGACACTGACTGACTTTGACTGAGTGACACTGACAGACTGACATTGACTGACTGATACAGACTGACTGACACTGACTGACTGACACTGATTGACACTGACTGACTGACATTGACTTTGACTGACTGACACTGACTGACTGACACTGATTGACACTAACACTGACTGACACTGACAGACTGGCATTGCCTGACTGACACTAACTGACTGACATTGACAGACTGACTGACATTGACTGACTGATACTGACTGGCTGACACTGACTGACACTGATTGACACTGACTGACATTGACTGACTGACATTGACTGACTGACACTGACAGACTGACATTGACTGACTGACTGACACTGACAGACTGACTGAGGGGTCCCAGGGCCCTTCTCCACTGCAGGATGTCCTCCCCCCACACGCCTCCGTGGCCAGCGGTCTGGCGACAGCTCGGAGTGACCCCGATAGATGAAGGACATGTCAGAGCACCCCGAGGCAGGGACTCCCTCCTTAGGGACCTGCTCTGGTGTTGGATTTTATGTTTATTTGAGGGCATCTGGCCCCGAACCGGCTCTTTCACGTGTTGTGTGACAAAAATCTGAACAGAGAGCACATCCCGTTGCCTGAAGGTTGAAATCCCCCCTGTTCCCTCCCAGGTTTTCTCAGCCCGTGTGAAACGTCTCCTCAGGCGTTTCCTCTGGGCGGTGGCAGCACCCTGCGGGTCTGTCTGCCTTGTAGAAGCACCTGGAACCTGCTGTGCTGGGATCTGAGAGGTTTGCTTCATGCCCTTGTTAACTCTGGGGAAGCTAGGTAGGATTTCTTTACCTGTATTTTTTCCCCGTGCCTATTAGTATTCTTGCTGCATAGTTATGGCTGACTTCAGGAGCTGTTAGTATATTGTGTTAGTATATTCCTTTCTTGTTTTGCAGCTCTCCCTAAATAGTGCGTGGGATCTTTCCTGCAGAATTCCTTGGCCTGCCTGAGGATGCTGCTCTACGGTAGCATTTACCCAATATTCAGTGTTCAGTAACTCCATTTTTAGGTTGAAGTAGCTAAACTAAACCAGTAATTTTGGTATAGAGAATATTTCTCTCAACTCAGTGAATTGAAGTCTGTGATATATTAGTTGTAATAGCCTTAGGGGGGAAAGTTGACATTGTAGGGAGACTTTATGCCAAACTTTGATCTCAATTACACCCCCAAAACCTCACTGACTTCAGTGGTTTTACATTTGGAGCAGAGGATTTCTACCAGCATTCTGTTGTTGTTTGTTTTGTTTTGACTTGCTCAGTTTTTCATGCCAGCACTATGAAATGCATTGCGGTAGTACAAAAAATGTTGACATTTCACCATAGTTTTTATCTCCTTATGCTGTGCCTATGCATCTTGATGTAGTTAATTATGTCAAAATAAAAAATGTTTACTGAACACAAAGAAGACTTCTATAATAGTTCCTAAATTCTTTCTTGCTGCATTTAATTTCAGTAGGTTTTACTAAATGCACTTTGTTTGAATGATCTCTTTGGGTACTTCTTGTCTAGGAGCAAGCAGCCTGCTCAATACTTAAGAGCAGGCTCTGAAATCTGAATTACTTCTTTGTATACTTTTATTCTATACAGTTACTTGCACAAAAGCTGTGATATTAACAAAACTGATTTTAGGAATGGTTGCTGTATCGTTTTTGCTTGAGGTTCTTAATTTCACAGTTGGCTAAAATTATTACTCTTTTCAAACCAGTATTTCTCACACATGGTTTCTGCTCAGATATGATGGTGTAGTTTTGAGGTTTTAATTATTCTGAGCTTGGAAGATATCAGGTGATGGATTTCAGTGAGACTTTGGTTAACCTGCAACTCTGACATTCTTCCAACTTCGAAACCTTTATGTAAGAACAGTGCTGCTTTTTTTTCCAGTATTTTTTAGTAGTACACAATGTAAATGTTTTGTATGGAGGTACTGAGAAGATGATGGAAGTTCTGCCTTTATGATTAATGGTCCTTACGTATTTTCCACATCTTTAGCATGTTTCTTGGCATCTAAGAATGTGTGCTAGTATTCTGCTTATTGGAAGAAATGACAGTGCAGGTGCTCTATGTGTGCTGTTGTGATAACTTTTGATTGTCATGTTTAGTTATCTGAAGTTTAAATATTTGTTAATGTAGGTTATTTTAGGGTTTTCTGGTGCAAACAATTCTTACTATATGTCTGCAGGAAATGCAAGAGCCTCCTTTTACTTATGAAGAATTCTTATGTTCTGAAGATTTGGTGAGTCCAACTGCTTATTATTTTAACTACCCATGTATATGGTGAATTGAAGAAGCAGGAGGCAGGTCCTGAGCAAAGCCATGTGAATGTAAATACTGAGAATTGAGTTTGAGCGTAGATTGTATTTCCAGGACCCTCAGGCACTGGAAACTAAGAGGTTTGTAGAAATGGCAAACCTTTAAGAGAGCAGTCTCTCTGTTAACTGCCTTTTTTTTTAAAGCTAACCCATGGAGGAAAATTTCTGTTTGTTGTACAGTGATTTTCTGCTGTTGTTAAAGTATGCTTGAGTGATGACACTGGATCAAGCGTGTTTAAAATATTTGGTCAGTCCACAGTATTACTAACATAACAGAAAGTCCTGAACCCTGAGGCAAAAAGCTCTGATGAGTATGAAAAGGGGAATAGCTAGTTTTGCTTTTTAATGAGTTGCTTTCTTTTCTTGTATTGATAAGGCTGCTGGGGAAATCCTTGAATATGTGTTTCTTTTCTTAAAGAACTTAATATAATGTGGTTACCAATGGTTCATTGAAATTACATTCTTTTTAGAGAAAACAGAACTTTCCTTTTGACCTGCCTACATTATTTTCAAGTATTGATTCACTCAAAGCCTTTAACTACAGAGCTATGGGAAAAATTACTCTTTTGCTATGAACCAGAACTTCTTCTATCACAGGAACAAAGAAATAAAAAATGATAAAAAGAATTTCAGTGGACAGAACATTCCATAATAAGTTTTTTGTCTCTTTAAAACGTATATTTTTAGGAGGAGCAATTGGACATAAAAGTGGAGACATTTTCATTTGGCATCATGTCAAAACAAAATATTACTATGTTTTAGTGTTCTAATTGGTTTTACTCTCTTTTTACCCTAAAATAAACATTTGTGTATTAATAGTTTGCATTTTTTTTTTAAAGCAGTAATTTGTCTTACTGCCCTGCTATTAAGAAAGAACATGTCATTGTCTTTCAGCTCTACTAGAGGGTTTAAGACCACATTAATTACTCTGTATTAGCACTTAGTAAGTTATTTTCCAAAAGTGATGAGTTTGATGATTAACTTCAAGTGACTACCCTTGGTTTCAACAATTTGCTCAAATATTTAAGCTGTTAGTTTAAATTCTTTGCTAGATCAAGGAACAGAGTTTCCTCCTGTGTTTCCACTTCTGTTCTCAACAGATGGAAGGCGTTACTGTCCTTTCTGAGAACTTAAAGTGCACACGATTTTATTTGTCTCTTTAGAAACATAGTAACTTTTTTTTTCCTTGAGTTATCTCCTTCTGTAACTAAAAGGTTACAGTCTTTTTAATTACTCGGTGTCTGCTCTAATGGGCCTCCCTTTCCTGTCCTATTTCTGTTTTTGTCTTTTTGAGATGATGTAATCAGCTCTGAATGCAGCACATGGGAGAGGAGGAAATTGCAGTTGACGTTAACAATGTTGCCAAAATTATAGTCTTACAAGGTATATGTAAAATGCATTTATACTGGTATTACAATTCTTTTCGCAAAGTAAAGTTCATTACTTTTGTATCATTTTCAGAAATAACTATTTTTACCATGTACTGAGTGCCGAAGGAATGGCCAAATTGTGCATCTCTCAGTGAGCCTTGTTCTAAAACGATTATTCTTTCAGGGCTGTATGTAAATATCTGTATGAGTATGTTCCATTGACCATCAATGGTCATCCACACTCAGATTTGGAGAAGGGAATAAACACAAGTATCGAACTGGAGAAACCCACTGAAAAAATATTCTCATTATGATGTGAACCGGCATATCTAGAGGAATATCTCATGACCTTGAACAGACAAACTGACAGGCATTGTCTCAGATAAGTGTTATAGCTTTGCCTCAGTTTGCAAGTGTGAAGTGTCAAGTTTATAAATTAAAAAATGCTGATAAGCTGAAGTCCCAGTTCTGCCTGGGTTTTAGAAACATTTTGTGTCAAGCCTAAACAAAGTGCAAGCAAAAGGCTATGAAAACATGTTGTTCTTCACAGACCTTGGTATTATAAAGGAAAGATGAGAGTACTGAAAGACCAAAAAGGTGGTTTTAAGCCTTCCAATAATTCCAATGGTGCAGTAGAAGTATACTACTGCATGTATGTTGTGTGTTAAGTTTTGTGCACATACACATTTAATTGTAGACCTGGACATATAAAAAGTCTGCCTGATTACAGCTGGTAGCCAGTAAAATCATCAATCCAACCTCTATTTCTAGATAAACCTTGCTAATTTTTTTAAGACATTGCTACTGAGGAAATTGGTGCAGAAGAAATTCTGACTCAGACAAGTGAGATGGGGAAAGCAAAGGTATAGTATAGATTTTTATTTCTTTTAATAGATTAGACAATAAAGACTAAATGTTCAAGGTATTTTCCTTGGATCCAGAAGTGGAATTACATCATTCTCTGAATGTTTGCTAGGGGAGAAGCTGGGCCATGTTGATGACACCAAAACAATCTGAAAAAACTCTATTTTTTCTTTGTATCTCCAAAGGTGTTTTGTAGTCACCAAAAGTCTCAGTTTTAGACCATTGCTCCTTTTCTGAAGTATATTGACAGTTCATAGTATAAGTTGTCTTAGATGAAAATATCATTTCTAGCATTGTTTGAAATAGCATTATTTATGAATTAAGTATTTAAACATTTCTCACCTTGCCAAATACATTGTTGAGGAGTCAAAAGGTAGAAATATAGAGGTAAGAGATTGTTTACACTACATGGTATTTCTTGGATGTTGGTTTGACTATTAAAGGCCAATTAAAGTTTCTGTTGAAGTAAATAGAGAGATATATAAAAATAACAAATTCTTTGTTAGATTCTTTTGAAACAGCTTGAAAATTTGTCATGGGTTTATTAACATTGTAATGAAAAAGTTTTGAGAAAGAAGAAACTCACAAGGACTTGGTAATGTTAAGTTTATGGTTAGGTTAGGTTGGACTTGATGACCTGAAAAGTCTTTTCCAACCTAAATGGCTCTGTGATCCTATGAGAAATAAACCTCAACAAAGACTGAAGTGGTTATTTCATGTACTTTAACAGACTCTTAAGGGTAATAAAAGAAAGCAACTGTTAAAGAAAGTATTTTTATCGAATGGGGTCACCAGCAATTGAACACCTCTATTGTAGAATACTGCTTAAATTTTACTTTAGTTTTCTCGTTGGAGCAGCTATTTAATGCAAAAGGAACATAATAATTAACTTAGTTGCTAAATGATTTTATTTTCTTTTTAGAGTTGTTTTACCTGGTTTCAAGGTAAAACAACTTTCAGAATTACCAAGACATTTGGGAACTCCAAAACTTTGGGATCTAGTTGTAAAAGCTCAGGTTTTTTAAGTATGAAGTATTTCTTCCTGTGAATTCAGTTTTTTAAGTAACAGTTGAAAAACTAGGGCTGATTTTAGAACTAAGCCTCTCCTGTCTTTGTGATCTGCTTCAGGCATGCTGCTGTGATTTATGGTAGCTTTCTACTTGGGAAAGTCAGTTTGGGCAGAATCAGAATCCATGGCACTGTGAAAGGCCAAGATAAAGTATGTTAGATTTTTTTATAACTTCCACTTGACGTGGAAATGTGTAAGCTTTTCCTAATTTATATCTTTAAAATTTAAATGCTTAAAGTACTAAGGTACAGATTAGGTGGGTATACATACTTGAGAGTATAAATTTGTACATGAGTAAAACTAATTTAAGAACAAATTTGAATTCTCACTATAGAAACATCTTAAAAATTTGGTAAGCAGCTATCCAAAAATCCTTTATTCTTTAGGATCAGTAGGATTGCATTGCTGCAGAAGTACATAGAAATAAGAGGAACAGATTTCTAATAGTCATGTGATAATAGTTATCACCAACATAAAACAATCACTACTTTGTTCCTAGTATCAAACAATCTGAAACCCTGACTTTTGATCCATTTTGCATATTGGGTTGTTACTAATAAAGCAAAGATTATTTTACTACTTTTTCACGTATTAACCTATTGTATAGTATTATGCAGACTTTCACAATCTGTGTTAAAACAGTGACTGATAGATTGAAGAATATTATAAATGTTATGTCATTTACTGCATTTTTCTGAGTGAATTTTGACTTCTTTTGGCTTAGAAATGAAGAAAACTGTTAATTCCTGTTACTTGTCCAAGTCCAAATACTGTCAAGTTGATAAAAACAAGTTGTGCAGAGTGAAGGACAGATATAAAATTCAGATAGTTGAGCAGCCTAGATAAATTCTATGTCTAAGCAGTGACCTGTTGATAGTACTTGCTGCAAAATGTGTGCACAAATGTAACATTTTTGACATAAAGTGTTTATATACAAACAGAAGCCTGCTCTTGGAAGTTAACAGTGATTGATATACAGAACTAATCGGTTGTCCTACAATTTATTTTGTTTTTTTGCATAAACATAATGTCTTGGCACTCAGAGAATGGCTGTAGACCTTGCTAGTATTAGAGGATAGACATGAGGTTTATTAATCAGTATATTAGCATGCACCTGTATCTGAATTTATGATGATACCTTTTTCCCAATTTTTTCCCTTTGCAGCCTAACCAGGAAGATCAAGACCAATTGTTTGACAGAATTGGAGATTTTGTGGCACATTTTTCTTCTTGTTCCCAGGGATGCTGAAGATATTTTTTTTCAGGTAATAGTACAATTAGCATTTTCAGTGATGTATGGGTTAGATTCAGCTCATAAAAGTATAATGATATCAAAAAGAAAGTATTGTATTTTTAAGGTAATACGTAGGCTCTGGTCCAGTCCAATCATTGCCTTATTGCAGTGACTCTGTTCTGTAGGAGCTCTTTTAGCTGTGAAATTATTTAACTATTGCAGAATTAGCCAGCAAGGATATAATCATACCCAGAGACATAACTTATAATTCAAATGATGAATGCCGATTTCATTTCACTGCTTTCTTTGTGCTACTGTGTAGGAGAATTATTCTGGAAGAATCTATGGTAAGCACATAAATGCAGTCAGGAAGGAAGCCTTAAAAATTCAAGCCCTAGGTAAAACTATACTAATTCCTGGAAAAGCTGCTGAACAGAGTGTTGTAACAGCAGACTAGGAGAACTTCCCCAGTAACTATTTGTAGGTGGCTTTGAAGGTATCTCTGTAAAAAATGGTCACTTTGTATAAATATTCTTACAGGATTCAGACTATGCCTGTCCTATTGGAAGTAGTATTATATTGCCATTCTGAATGTTTTGACAGTAACAGTTTATGATTTTTAGGTTGTATATGTATTTTAATATCCATTTAAAAAGATTTAGAGCACATTTCTATCTTTTGTGCTCATTTATTTAGACTTCATGCCAATGTGGATTTCATTATCTTGTATGTTGAAGCCGATTGACAAATGCAATAGAAATATGTTTTTGAAGTAGATATAAAATACCAAAATAATTTCTCAAAACCCTTCTCTGTGTCAGTCACTGTTGGGCAGAATTTTCTTTTTAGTTACAGACACAGAAAATTGTATGTAGAAAAAAATCATCCTGAAAAATTAAATTTGAGAAGGCTTGCATACTTCAAAGTTATGTGTGCACCAAACTCCAAATGGGCCTTTAACTTGGATGAGCTGGGTAAACCCACAGTGTACTCTGTAACTACTATAAATAGATAATAGATAGAATTAACTGAAATTTAGTCAGACCAGAGAAAAATCCCAAGAAACTGGGAGACCACTGCTACGCCATAGATTCTGTATCTGTATAAAACCTATGGTATGGAGCTCTGCAAAGTACTACTGGAGTGAATATGGAAAACCACTGAATAAAGTAAATTATGTATTGCTGCCAGAATAATTCACAACCTCAACAAAACATAAACAAATATATTAAATTACCAGAATTGGAACAACACAAAGTAAGGATATTCACTCATGTGCAAAACTAAGCAGAAGCAGAAAGGAGATGGTAAAAACTGTCCTGTTTGACTTTAAGTATATGGCTATAATTATTTCAGTTAACAGGATTGGACCCCAAGGATGAGGTTGACCATGGTCATAAAAATTTGCACATTGGAGACAGGAAATAAAGCAGCTTTCACTCAGGAATATTCATAGGGTGATTTTCAAAATTAACATCAATATTCTTATAAATTAAATTTTTGATTTTCAGGTGTAAACTCAAGGAAAGGTGTATGGAAGCAATGGAATGTTGAAAGCTTGAAGGCTGCCACAGTAAATTATACTAGTAAAGATGCTACTGTTAAAATACAAGCTAGTGCACCTGCCAGTTCTACAGCAACCCGTAAGTCTTGTAAATATTTCTAAACACACAATGCATGTCACTCCACGCATTTTGGAAGGAAATCTAGAGTATATTGCAAAATCTAATTGTCAACATAAATTATTAGCAATATTTTCAGTTTGTTTTGCACAAAATCAAAATGTTATAGCAATTAAACATGAATTGATGATTTTGATCTACTCTAAACATGCATCCTCCCAAATACTGATACTTCCATTTGATTAAGCCGTAAGCAATATTACAAAGTATTTAAAGAAGGTACTGATACTCTAGCTAGTAAAATCTCACGGTTTTGATTTTGTCAGTTCCTCTCATACTAATGACAGCTATTATTTTTTTCTACTCCTTTCTCTGGCACCTGGTTCCCATTTTCAGTATGTCTTGCATTCTTCCCTCTAACTTCTACCCCTTTGTCTTCCCTGTCCTGATGGATCAGATCTTAACTTTTATTCTTCCATACCAGCCTGCTGTGCTTTCTCAATGCTGCTGTTTTAACCACTTCTCAAGCTGTTTGTGCTGATGTTGCTTCTAGCTTGCTCTGTTTTGCAACATTTTGTTTCTTCAAGCTAGCCAGCTTCTTTTCTCTTTTCCCTGCCTGAAATTACTGTTTTCCTTCTAACAACTACAGCCATAATTTTATGCTTCCAATCTTCTCTTGCTCCTTTTTAACTTCCTTCTGCCTCAACCATAACCAAACAACTTTTCCCATCCCTGCCTTTTTTTCTCCCATCTTTTTTTTCCATGAGCTCATATGTTTTTCTCTATTTAGATAATTTCCCAGTCATCAAGGTACGAAAACCTTATTTTTGCAAAATAATTCAGGAGAAAACTCATAAATTTGTATCATAGGTGTCATTTAAGGCAGTGAGGTCTGTAATTCTTTGATTTTCCATTTTCTAGTGTATAGTTGGCTGTATAATATAGGGTTATTCATTGCCAGTCTTAAAGATAAGCTGGAGAATTATTTTAGAAATTCTTTAGTGATGGAACCTACTTGAATGGAAGAAGATATCTTTGTGCAGTTTTTCAGGGCTCCTCACCCTGCTCTGTTGGTAGCAGTCTTCCCACTCCCCAGCCTCTACCATTTTCCATGCTATCACTGACATGTTTTCTCTATGGTTAAGTGCTTAGGAAAAGATAGAGGGTTGCCTCTTGTATGTGTTAAGGAGAGAAGGTTTGGAACGTGCTGTACTCAGGAAATCCTGAATTAGTGCAGTACTGCAGACATATCAGAGGAAAGGAAGTATTCTCTCATGTGCCATGATTCCCACAAAGCTTTCTCTTGGAATGTAGATGTGAGAGAATTGCGTGGGTTTTCCCCAATGAAACAGACTATCTCAGCAACAAGGAGAGCTGCTTTTGAGGCCTAGCTGAAGGATTTGGTCTCTGTAGATGAATATAGCTTTGTCGAACCTTTGTATGGATTGGCTATGCACATCTGTGTCTTAAAAAAGTGACCTATCTTACTGTCGTTATGTGTTGCCTTTTAGCTTTCCTGAAGAATTTTCCTTTTTTACTTTAGTATTTCTTTTCAAGCACAATTAAAAAATGAAATGTGGTTTATTTAAAGTTGAAAGTCAGTGTTACTCTCATCAGGTTACAGTCTTGAAAGGAAATTCTTGTTTACAGAATCAATTTTGTGTGTATTGCTCAGTTTGCAGGACAGTTTTTAGAAACAGAAATGTAACTATGTTTTTGAACAGAAGAACATTTGGGTTTAAAAATAATATGCTTTTACAAAACCTAAAACCAGTGGAAACATTTGCATGTTTTTTATGAATTCCAAAGGTTTTATTCTGTTATAATCATATTTCCTCTTGGATCATGGTCACTGTAGTACTTTACTAGTATACAAAAACAAGAGTATGAAACTGAGTAAAAAGTGATTATTTATGAGGTTGGTTCAGTAAATTACCTCAGCTGCTCATTAGAACACTGCTTACTTAACGGAGTCTGTTTTAATGACAGTAATCTCTAAAGTCTCTGAAGCTATTGTTATCTTGATGTTTCTTTCCAAGATATAATGGCATGTTCTTTCTTATGACAGTAAAACAAACAGGAGAAGCCCTACTATTTTAGCTCTTCCTGTTAGTGTGCTATCCTGTGGTCTACCTTATTGCTTTAGGCTTGCAGGATGCTCATGGTTTTGTCCAATAATCATTTGTTCTCTCTTATGACCACTGAAAAGTTGTTGCTTGTCCAGATCTACTTTAGTGCCTAGTTTTCAGTGAAACCAAAAGGGATAGCGTGTACAGACAAGTTAGTCGTATTAACATGTTGTGTCTTACACAAGAATTGACTGTCCATGGTTTCCAAATGTTGCTTTTCCTCTAAAGGTCTCATCCAGTGTTCCTGTGGTGAGAATAATATCACAGCAACTCATATAGACATAAACAGGCTACCCTGTTAGCTAGCTTGAACAGAGAAAACCATATAACTTTGAGGGTATGGTATCCTGTGTAGCAACAGAAGTCCCTCTGAGTGTGGGTAGAAACAGCTACATCTCCTCTGTTGTCCCTGTGATCTGTTGTGATTAGTCTGGCAGTTTAAAGCTAGTGTGGGGCTATGTTTAGTGCTTTAGCAGCATGTACCAGACTCAAATTTACCTATCAAATAGCACACTGAAAGTGGCTAGTGTAAAGTTATATAAGAAATCTTTAGTGGAACCAGGTTTCAAACGGCAGTAGATGAACCATGAAAACTCAGCAGTCACCAGCTGATGACTTGATTCTTGTCCATCAAAACTGGTGCTGTCCAAGGTAATAGTAAATTATGTTTATGCTTAGACAGGAGATAGTAATTGTAAAGGGAGTCGGCCCTGAATTCTGATTAAAATCATACCATATAACATTATTATTATAAAAACATTTCTAGTGGTGATAAAGATATTACTGAGTTAGTTCGAAGAATAAGGGAGTGATTCCGGTCTAGTCAGCACTGTCAATGCCACACTTGGAGTACTGTGTTCAGTTCTGGGCTTCTTAGTACAAGAGAAACATGGACATACTGGAGAGAGTAATAAAGGGCACAGAGATAATGAGTGGCCTGATGCATGTCTCCCATGAGGAAAGGCTGGGAGAGCTGGGACTGTTGTTCTCTTCAAGGAGAGAAGGCTCTGGGCTTATCAATGTATGTAAATACCTGAAGGGCGGGTGCAAAAAGGACTGAGCCAAGCTCTTTTCAGTGGTTCCCAGTGACAGGACAAGAGGCAGTGGGCACCAGCTGACGGACAGGAGATTCCTTCTGAATGTCAGGAAACACTTTTTTACTGTGAGGGTGACTGAGCAGTGCCACAGGTTGTGGAGAGAGGCTGAGGAGTGTCACTCCTTGGAGATATTAAAAAAAATGTCTGGACATGGTCTTGGGCAACTGCCTCTAGGTGGCCCTGCTTGAGTAGGGGGTCTGGACCAGAAGACCTCCAGAGGTCCTTTCCAACATCAACCATGCTGTAATTCTGTGAATAAAGTGCAACGCAGGGTCCGTTAAATAAAGGTGGGACAGTGACACATCTTTGGTTCAGGTTCTTCCCTTCAGAGAGGGGAGTACAGGCTAGGAGTAGTTCCTTTGATGCTGTATAAAACCAGAAATGCATAAATAAAACATACATGGATTTGCATGAGTTGTTCAATTAACATAACACCATAGATACGTCAGTTCGTTGTTGGTGTATGGTCAGAAAACATAGGCACAGACCAATGAAGACTCATTGTAGAATGAGCTCTTTTCAGTGTTTACCTGGCAACGCTAGAAAAAGGCTTTTTTGTGTTTTAGTCTTACAAAATTCTGAACATCCAAGTGGCACAATGAACAGACTCTATTAACTCCAGAGAGAGCTTAGCCTGCAGAGGACAAAGCCCTTAAATTGTCTGTGACTTCTCAAAGACGGGGAAGCTGTTGGTCTATGTGAAGTGAACTTGTAATCAGTTTCACAGAGCTACCTGGGTACTAGGTAAGCCAGATATCTACTTTCTCCATGTAGCTGAGCACACTAGATATCTAGTTCCTGTGTGTGCATATATATGTGTGTGCGTGTATATGTATACATATATGTATAAATGTATATATAATTCCTATAAAATCTGCTGGACTTTGGCAGCCTACTTAACCTGATACCTTCAGATTCTCACGAGGTACCAATATCCACCTTTTAGCAACTTGGTATCCTTTGAGATCTGTACTTCACTGAAGAATGCTCAGTGTTCAGATCTTTAGCCATCTTTGTTAAAACACAGTTTTAGAAATTACCTTCAAAGTGAAGAGTTTTATCTGTTACTGGACTTCAGTCTGAAAACACTGTAACATTTATGTGACAAGTTTATGCATCTTCATTCTAATTGCTCTGCTTTTCTGGTTAGTGCTGAAGGAAAACAGTTTATTCTCATGAGGAAATAATTTCCTCTAAATTGAGTTCTTGTTCTCCTCTCTTTGTTAAGAGTCAGCCTTTTAAAGTGCCAGGCCTTTAAGTAAAAGAGTTTTCTTAGTGAAACAACCAATCTTGGTAAGCTAGGATGTGCCTTCCAAACACAATTGAAGAAAATTTCCCTTTTTAGGTCTGCACGGTAAGCATTTCAGTGTCTATAATGGCTGAGATTTACAATCTAGCTTTCCTCAGCCAGGTGAGGTTATTTACAGAGCTCAAGTTTTAACGCTTGGTAGTTTTAATACTATATGGATACTACATTGTATTTTGTGTAAGACTGTGAATTTAAGTGCATGGTGTTAAAAAGTTTTTTCTGGAAACTTTGCTGTGTGAGTATCATTTAAATTAATATAAATGTCATGTTAAAAACTTCATACAACTCCTTGAATATTTTCCCATCTGAGTTTCTGCTTTAAGGACTCCTAATCTTCGAAATCTTCAAATTCTCCTGACAGCACAGAGAAGTTACCTTTTTTTCTGTTTTAAGGGAAGATGTGATGCAAATTGCTGTTACTTGTCCAGTGATGTAAACAGTTGATTTCTTTCCTTTTTATTTTTTTATTTAATGTTAGTTGAAAAAAGTATATTATTCGTTCTAAGTATGGATCCCAACTCTGATGATAACTTCCCCTAATTTGGGGAAATTATCTAACCTGTCAGTTTCATTTTCTACCTATGTTAAATGTTATGAAATTTTCCTGGTTTTTAGGAAGTTAGTATTGAGGAATTAGATTGTGGAGGCCTGTGAAGGATTTAGACTACTCAGATACTGGTTGTCAAATGCAGGGAAATACTGTTAATCTCTTACTACTTTATTGATTTAATGTTAACTTACATTTTGGTTTGGCTCATTCAAAAATATACATATTTTCTTATTTAAAACACAGACAAGTGTATTTTAATAATTACTCAGTCGATTAATCATTTAGTAATCTGATTACAGATGCTATGCACAGAGTTGTTTTAAAGTACTTGCAACAGAATTAAAAGTGAGACCATATTGTACAATGTCTTTTAAAGGTCATGGAAATTGTCCAATTGTCATTTTTTATTGTGTTATAAAATGTATTTACACCATTTTGCATACCTTTAGTGACACACAAGGTATTTTAGATAAGCTATGAGGCAAATGTGTAGTTATCCCCCAACATGGAAAATGCTTTTTGTGTAGCTGTTCAAGAGGTTGAACTGAACTCTAAATGTTTTTTTTAAGAAAAATAACTTGGAATTACAGACTCTTTTGGGTTGGAAGGGTGCTGCAGGTGTCTTGTCCAGTCCCCTGCTCAAAGTAGGGCCCACACTGATTTTAGACTAATTTGCACAGGACTTTGTCCAGTCAGATCTTTAAAACCAACAAGAATGGAGATTCTGCAGTCTTGTGTGAGATTCCCCAGATGAGATTAGCTCATTTTTGTGTCACAGAGTGTTTATCGGCACTAATACAAAAGATAAGTAAGTAGAACCTTGTTAATTAAATTTAAAGAGCCTGCGTAATGGAACAGTTTCTGGGAAATGTGAATGGTTATTGAAGGTGGCTAAATAGAATGGCTATTTAAACCACAGGAGCTTATATTTCAGTTCTAAACCACAGTCTATTTATGCTTTGTAGTATCTGTGGTAAACAAAGAAGAAAGCTAGATGAAAACCAATGCTTCTGAAGGAAAAACAAAGAAATAACAATTGAGAGTGGCTATTATAGCTGACTTTGGGTTTTCTTGAATCTTTAGTATCATAAAGGTTAGTAATGAGTTGTATCCAGGCAGGTATATCTGTTTCGTTTCATATGAACATATTTTCCTCCCAGATGGGATATCGCATGACTGATGTTAAGATTGGATTGTGATGTAATTGGTATAGAAGCTTTTGTGAGGGTTTCTGACATCTATTTGAATAATACCTGTTAAAATCTAATAGATTCTTTTATCTTTTATCCTATAATAGCTTGCTATTGTAGTTCACCACTATGAATTTTGTTTGGCTGCATCCCTATATTCTTGAATTACATAACCAAAAGATCTTTAGAAGAGCTTGTCTGTATCTGGATTTCATTTTAAGTGCTTTTTGCATATATATTAATGTATTAATTTGCATATTCATGTTTGAATTCAAACTTCAAATCTTAATGAGATTTTGTTCTTTTATTTTTTATTTCAAAGCTTCAACTAACCTAGTGTAGGTCTAGAAACTTCCACCAGTATGTTAATGTTGATCATGAGTGTGAACTTTCTTTCAGTGTTTATATATTCACAGAAAGGTGCAGACAGTGATTTGCAAAACAGTTTCTTTGATAGTATAGTCTATTGTTTTCAGTGAACAGGTAATAGATAAAAAAAGCACAGTGAATGTTTACTGACGTAGCTGTATTGACAGATTTTTTTCTACATAGACCCATTTATATCTTCACTTTGATGTTTGATATTAGCAAGTCAAAAATCATGAATGGTTTCCAAAGTATAGTACTTGTTAAACAAGTTTTGGTTTTGTTTTTAAGAATTATTGATAAAGAGAATTTTTACCATTTTCAGTGAGTGCTATTACAAAAAAAGGTTCTCATGTCAGAAAAAATGGTTGACTCTAGACACTTGCAATGAAAAGTAAACCATTTTATACTGCTAGTAATTAGCTTGACTCCGTTTCGGGCATCTAGCAGCTGTTTTAGCTAATTTTTTTTTGTGATCTTTAAGTTCATGGTTACCATAATACCTAGAAAACTTGCAGGCAATCTGAGCAAAATGAAATTATATAATGCATTAGTTGTGTAGGGATTAGCTGAGCACTTCAGTAGCTAGAAAATGGAGATGTCTTTTCTTCATCAGGTCATACTGATTTTAGCTGAAGTTTCAAACTAGTCATATAGGCTTTTACGTATTTCTTTATCTGTGAGTACAGGTTCTACCCTCTGACGGATTAGTTCCAGTACCTGCTGGAGCTGTGTTGAAACCACGACAAGCTGTAACCTTCTTTTACCTGCTGTAACTCTGAGCCTGCTGGTAATTTGATTAGCAAGAGTATGCAGCAAAGATTTTTTACATTTTTGCATTGTTTCTTTTCAGATGTCTGTTGTGTGATTTGCTGCAGGCTGTCATTTTTGTCTGCTCTCCAATGTATGTTGGCAAGAGGGTTGTGTACTAGTCTTTGTGTCTGGTCACAGAAACAAATTCATGCATCTCAGCCAGACTGTTTTGTTATTCCTTTAGAATTAAAAGCATATGAAACAGATGCATCTTAATAAGGATTTTTTTTTTATAAATAACATTTAAATAACTTAGAACAATAAAGTTCAAATACAACTTAAAATAAAGTTTAATGCTGTAACAACAGAAAAAGCATGTATAAGGATGGAAAAACAATATTGAAAGCTGTATGCCCTAACAGGAATTATACAAAAGATAGGATATGTTACATAAAAAACCTTAATATGTCTGAATTTTTGCTTCATCGTTATATAAAATGTTAATTTGTGAAAAGTGAGATGAAGTACATTATTTAATCCTATTCTTATTTTACATACACTATTTGAAACATCTTTTAGAGCAGCATTAGGTATTTGTTTCATTAATAGATAGGAACATTTTGTGTTAGAGTAAACATAATTTTTCCAAACTAACTCTTTTATCTGAATACAACAATAAACATTTACAAGATTATATTTTTTTTCTGATCATATAGTTTATGTATAGGATATCAGTTTCTTGGGGAAGTATTTAAAATACTGCTCAGCCTCCACATTTACTATTGACTTGATAATCTGACAACTCATTCCAGCAGCCTTAAAGTCTGACATATTTTACACAACATTATCATCTGCTTATTATTATTATAGCAGCCATATTTAAGAAGCAGATAGGGTTTTTTAAATAAAATATTATCAGATAATCAAGTAATGACTTATTCTTCAGGGTAAATTAATTTAAGAAACTACCCAGTTACAATGACTAAGATAATGATTGTACAACTCTTTAGAATTTTTTACAACTTTTAGTTAGTAAATCTGGTTTTGTGTATATTTTCAAATCTTTTTCATGTAGTCTTTTAAAAATAAAGATAAATGCGCAAGTCCAGCTTGTTCAGTTTCTCAGTAGTATTCCAGCCTCTCTTGGTAACTTGTCAAATAGTCTTCTTAAAAATAATCTTCCTGCTGGAACTAGTTTTTGTATAGATCATTTGTGATTAGGATATTGCCAGTGGAAGAAAGTGGGATGCTCTGTGTTCTTTCTTTGTTTTTTTACCTTTCATGGGGACCCCTTTGTGGTTTAATGTAACAAACATCTCCTTTCCTTTGTGTGTCCATTTTGCAGAAGCATATGTGTTATAATGGTTTTCTTCAATCAGTTCTATGAAGTTGCAGTCCTCATTGCATACTTTCTGTTGACAGGAAATAATAAAGTAGAGTAAAATAAGTACAAGTGTCTTTTGAATATAGATTAGGAATGATGGGAAAAGAATATGAATTATAAACCCCACATATTAATATTTTAATAACTAATTTGACTTCTGAAATCTGAGTATTGAATATTTAGCTTTGTCTATTCCCACAGAGTATTCCACATTTTTAAAAAGTATCTAAGCTCTAATCACTGAATTTATTACATGGACATAAAAGTCTAGTATGGGATGTATGAGATAAATACAGGTGACATTTTAATTTGTTAAGAATCTGCTTTATATAAACTGTAAAGATGGTACATGCACAGATATGTATCTATCATGTGATGATTGTACACACAAGAGAAGTTTGCATCCATACCTTTCCATAGAGTCTTCCTGACTTGTTCATTGCCAGAAAGTATTCACTTTCCACTCCTTTGATTGCCACTATTCCAACTGCCACTGTTCGGATTTCTAGAATACCTGCAAAGGCACACAGTAAGGGCTGTAAAATGGTTGTTTGTTCTCCAGTCAATTTAGAAGGTTTAGTTGAACTTGCATTCTGTAATACTTCTCTGTTTATTGAAAATTGCAGGAAAATTGCATATCTATTCACGTGAAGAAAGGGGTAGAATTTAAAAATCATCTGCATGTGATCGTGTCTGCACAAAGCCACTTGAAAATTGTATGGTGATGATTTTTAAGTGTATGCTGAAGTTACGATGTTAGTAGAAATAATATTTCTGCTTTCAAAGAATCAGCATGTATTAGAATTTATCAGGCTCAGGGTTTCATTTAGAAGAATTATGTATGTAGCCATTGAGGTTCACAGAATTTGTGTAAAGCCTTTATTTTGAAGACCTATGGAGCAGTATCATCTCCTTGAAAGAGTGTAAACCTTAGAACTTGTGAGTGACAGAAAGCAGACCACAGTGTCTTAAATAAGATAAAGTATTTGCTTGACCTTTGCATGCTTTTATGGCTGATCGAAGCTGTAAAGATACGTGTATTTGAGAATCATTAAAAACTGCGCTGATAAGTTATTTTTCAAAACCAGAAAACATTTAGAGTTGTTTCCTATAAACTACTTATACTTAATCTCACTGATGTATGTCTGCAATAACTTGCTGTAGTTGCTATGATACATTTAAGTTACCTGTGACATAAAAAATATTCTTATGTTAATTAAAAAATATCTGAGCAAAGGCAGGAGGATGGTGCACATTATCAAGGAACACCAGGTTGTTTTCAAGTTTACATATTATTGTTGTTGATTTAAGCAATAGTTTAGAGTTCTGCTTCTGAGTTTGAGCTTTTTCTTCCATATTGAGTCACCTATAGAACTGCGCAGTAGCATCTAATACTGTGACTCTGGCTTTCCATACGGGGTCTTTCAAAGCCAGCTAACTCTAGGCAAATTTCAGCAGCTGAGCGTGGGGGAAACAAGGGAGGGAGGGGGAGAGAGCAGTTTGTGTTAGAATGTCACTTAAAAGGTGACCTTCCTCTTGAGCAAAACATTTCCTCATTTTCTCCTTCAAGTTTGTGTTGACTCTTCACAGGCACCACACAATAGGAATTTTTCATTAATTTCTTCTTCCTTTCTTTTTTCTTTTTTAGAAAGATACTACATATTTAGGATATTTCACCTTCCCTGTACTTTTCTTTTAATATTCTGATGTTCTTTGCTGTACTGTTCTGTTTTGCTTTCTTCCTTGATATTACCGATGTGTCAGTCCTAGCATGTATTGCTTAATTTTTCTTCCTATTTTCCCTACCATTTACATCTTCCCAGTTACATCTTCTCATGGTGTGTGCCCTGGTGGGCAGTCATCTCGGAACACTTACACTTTTGTACTTCTGTATAATGCTGAGCCAACTTTAAGTAAAGCTTTTAGAATTCTTTGACAAGTTCCACACTGCTGCAGGCCTTGTGACAATTCTTACAAAGGGTAATTTATAACCGAAACTTACAAAAGTTGTATTAACTTTCATTTAAATTTCACTTTAGAAAAACCACAGGGAAACTGAAAAACAGAGTAACATCTGCATCTAGCCAAACAAAGAACATAGCAGTGTAAGGGATCTCTGGGTCATCAAGTCCAGTGCTCTGCTAGCCTGGGATTTGCATCAGATCATTCTTTTTTCATAAACTCTGCCAGTGCTAAATTGGAGTTGTTACTTCTTTGCCCCCAGTGTTTCTGCCAAAGGCTGTTCCAATTTGATTTATTTTAATGGCCAAAGACTCTGTAGTAACATGCAATCTGCATTTTTTCAGCGACAGCTTATATCCAGTTGTTCTTTTGCCTGTGCTGGCCAGTAACTTAAGGAGAGCTTTTCTCAAAATCTATGTTTGAGTTTTCTATTTATACAGAATTTGAAAAATGAAAGATTCAAAATGACTTTTTAAAACAAGGCATGCTAATAGGAATTGAGATTTCCTTAAGTAAGCTGATGCTGGCTGAGGTTAGAGTAGTAAGAAATACTACTACTTTTAAAAAGGAAATGCCAAAAGCTTTAGTCCAAAGAGATATTATTATTGGAATTTTTACATTATTTTTTAGTTTGTTTGTTTTTCTGACGTAGATGGTGACATTCATTCCAACTTGTAGGAATTATTTTATTTGGGTTTGGATACTTGTTTTTCTGTTTTATTCTCAGTGGAGACATAAATATTTTTCATTTGGAATTTTACACTATTCATACAGAATTTGTTATAAAATAGAAATTTGGGTTGTAAAAATATTTCATAAGCCTCCTGTATAGCAAAATTGGAATGGCAGAATAAAAAGTTAGGTCTCAAAGTTTTATTCTGCTGTGTGAGACAGATTTATTATGTTTAGGTCTTTACATGGTTTTCCATATTATTTGTTAAAACCCCATTGTGCATAAAGATCAGTGCATTTTAATTAAAGACAGATAATTTGAGATTTATATTCATATATTGTTACACATATTCAGTGCTATTTTCTATGTTATTATGTAGCTTACACAATTTTAAGCAATTATGTACTCTCCAAATTAGGGCTAGCACTTGCATAAATAACTTTTGAAACCCTGACTCAGAGGTGATATGAAATCCAAAGAATGTTTCAGATCTTTGAATGGCACTTTCCTAAAGATACTCTCCATAAAGGTTAGTGAGTGAACAGCACATGAACTCTCCAATAACTATGTCACATTAAAAATATTGCAGTATTAGCAATGTTAAAAAGAAGGAAAAAGACCACAGAGAATTCAGTGGAAGTAACTTGTGTATTCTTGATTCTTTGCTCAGAACATCAGAATTAAACGGCCTATCATCAACTGAATGTGCTTGTTTTTCTGTTCCCAGTTCTAGATAATGTCTTATCTCTTCTGATGTGTCTTAATATATCCCTGAAGGGAAAACAAAGCATGATTTTTTCCCTTTGCTGAAATCTATGTGATTTAGAACTCTGAAGCAGCATCTCATGTGCACTTTTCTATTTGATGTGCCAGTGATTCATTACTGAGTTCCTCTATTTTAAGGCACATGACACAAGTTCCTTAAGCAGTAAGCACCCTGTAAGCTCTCTTTTCCTCTCCTGGTGGCTGTGCCTTAATGATTTTTCTGCTCATCTCAGAAATGTAGTACTGCTGCAAATCATTGCATATTTTTTTTCTTTAAATGACATAAATTTTGAGGAAATGGAAGCATGATTTTTAGCAAGCTGGGAAAAGTAACACTTCACTGTGTAGTTAGAATTGTGATCTCAGCTAATTTTAGCTGAGAATTTGATTAATGATCTTTCAGTACATAGGCTTTTGTATGGAACTCGTTTTCTTAACTACAAAAGCAGGACATTTCTAAAGGATATCCAAAAGAAGAAAATATCAAATCCATAAAATAGAGAAAATAAGTTGTATTTTTCCCTGTTTTTTCTGTTTCCTGTCAGCATCTCTACTAAGTTATAACATTATATTACACTATATGATATTATAGTCATATTGGTCTGTCTTTACTGTGTATGTGCTCTTGGTATTCAGTCACTGTAAGGTTGTTGCACATAGGAATCTAATCCATCAGTAGGTGTCAAGAGATAATAAAACTGTTCAACCAAAATTTTCACCAACTGCAGCTATTTCCTATTTCTTCTATACTTTCTGTACTGATCTACTACTGGTGATTCTTGCCAACAGGATGCTGGCTGACTTAAATTTGGATCTGAGCTGGTTATCCTTATGGTGTTAGTGTATATGGTCTGTTATACAGTTGTGACTGGTAAATTCATCCAAGTCTGTGAATGTGATCTTTTTAGTTTGTTCATTTCTAAAAAAAAACAAACAAAAGCCAAAACTCAAACCCCCTTTTTTTTTTTCTCTGCTCTTTCATTTTGAAATTCTGCACTGTTGCAGTGTCTTTAATAGGCTAGCCAGGGACATTTGGTGTACTGGAAAATAACCCGATAAACAGTAATATACTCTAAAGATTAGCTTTGTAAGGATGGTAACTTGAGTTAAGCAAAAATCAGCAAAAGCTAAAGAGTGTCTTTTCCATTATACCATTTTTGACTGCCTTTTAAGACATGAACTGAATTAAAATGTTTCAGTTTCATTGCTCCTCTACTGGGAACCTAAGTCTAGCTGGGCTTCAGTGTTCATGCTAATTCTTGTTAGCTGATTCATTGGAAGGAGGTAAACCTCTACATCCGTAGAAAAGTTGTAATAGAAGTAACCCTACTATGTTGTGTTATGTTTGTAGGCCATTTTATACAAAAAGGCAATAAAGGCAATGATTCTGTCCTCACTAAAGACAACAGTAGGATTTCTGCTGACTCAGTAGAGCCAGAATTTTATCGGTTAGTTCCTTCAGTGAGGCAGGAGAGGCGTAGTAAGCTAAAATCTTTTCACACAAAAACCACACAGAAATAGAGGAATCCAGAACAGGCACACATGTGACATTTGCCACTTTTTAATTGTTAGTTTATGTAGCACCAGATACTTCAGAGAGGTTAGAAAGGACTAAAATCTACAGTTAAAAATTCTACTAAGGAAAGAATGTTGTCCTCAGCCTAAAAGTAGACCATTCCATGTCATATATTAGTAAGTCTATTCTTACGTGCTTGCTTTTGAAGTAAAAAGCTCTAATCCTTTCAATGTCTATTCATGGAAAGGAGAAAGCCACCAAGGTAGGATGGGAAAGAGAAAATTCTCATATGTAGGTTGTTTAATTTAAATAGTCTTTTAATACTCTAATAACCAAAATTACTTTAAAGACATGCTTAAATTAATAAGATGATGATGATGGTAAGTTCAGAAGGCCAGACTTCAAAGAGGACTTAAATGTCCTCAGTTTAAAAATGAAAATGTAAACTATGTTTTTCAGCTACTTTATCTAAGCATCCCCATAAAAGTTCAAAGGAGTTTTAAAAGAAAACTTGAATATACCACAAAGTAACGGGGAAAGAAATCAAATTAAAGCCAGAAAGAGAGAGAAAAAGAAAAAACCAAACAACTGAAAATGA